TTAGGAGAGAAAATTACTAACATTTAACTATGGAAATATGAACATAATAAAATTTTGATAGCCAAATATGAAAAAACAAGGGAAATATATGTTTGGGAAATTTTTTCAAACAAGTTTTAAATAATAGATTTAAGCATGACAAAATTTATTACATGAATCAATTATAAGTATTAAGTTTAATTACTAGGAAATAGGATATATAGAAGTCGATCAAAGTTCTCCTCATAGAAAGAGACATCAATGGAATCTAAACACAGCCTCAGTATAATGGTTTCCTGCTGTTATATAAACATGGAATAGAACCAATTAAGCCATAAAGTCAAGTTTCTTGGAAGGTTTATTTTGACTCACTGGTATTTGAGTGTCTATGAAACATGAAAAAGAAATAATGGTAATCATTGTATTTTTAGAACTAAAGACAAAAAAATTTGTGCTTGAAGGTGAAGAAAGCTGTTTTGGGGGGAGAGTTATAAATGCCATATTCAACTAAGAATACAGATTTCTTAAAACTGGCCTTAAAATCATACACTGAACAGACCGTGAGGAAGTAAGAAAATGGTGAGGAGGGAAAGAAGGGGAGAAGTGTGCAGGACAGACCTGTCAACCTCTTCTTCATTTAAGATTTCTCTTCCACATCCTTTTATTTTGTTTAAATGTTTTAAAAATAAAATTTTTACTTTAAAATAGTTGTAAACTTCTGAAGACATTGCAAAGGTCATAGAGAGAGAGATCTCAGATATTCCTCATCAAGTTCCCTACTGTTAACATTCTGTCGCCAAGTGGTACTTTTGTCACAACTAAGAAATGAACATTGGTATATTACTGTCAACTACGCTCCATGCTTTATTCTGATTTCATTAGTTTTTCCACTAATGTCTGATCTCTCTTCCAGGACTCCATCCAGGAAGCCACCTTGCATTTAGCTGTCATGTTTCTTTAGTTTCCTCTGGTCTGTGACAGGTTATCAGACTTTTCTAGTTTGTCAATGACATTGACAGTTTTGAGGTATACTAACTAGTCAGGTATTTTGTTGACTGTCCCTCAATTTGGGTCTATCTAATAATTTTAATTTTCAAACAAATTATACTGATTTTAGAGAAAGGAGAGAGAGACACACACACCAGAGAGAAAGAGAGAGAGAGAGACATCATAATGTGAGAGGGGAAACATCGAATGGCTGCCTCCCACACTTAACCCTGACCAGGGATCAAACCCACAACCTTTCGGTGTATGGGACAATTATATAATTTACTAGCGGCCCGGTGCACAAAATTCGTGCACTTGGGGGGTGGGGGGGTCCTCAGCCCAGCCTGCACCCTCTCACAGTCCAAGAGTTCTCAGGGGATGTCTGACTGCCTCGGAGGCAGAAGAGGCTCCCACCACCGCCATTGTGCTCGCCAGCTGCGAGCCCGGCTTCTGGCTGAGTGGCGCTCGCACTGTGAGAGCACACTGATCACCAGGGGACAGCTACTGCATTGAGCATCTGCCCCCTGGTGGTCAGTGCGTGTCATAGCAACCGGTCATGCTGCCATTCCTTTGATTTGCATATTAGCCTTTTATTATATAGGAAGTGACCACTCCATCCCACTCCCAATAATTCAAGTACCCACCTGGCACCATACAGAGTTACTACAATAGCACTGACTATATTCCCTATGCCAGTGGTTCTCAACCTGTGGGTCGCGACCCCTTTGGGGTTGAATGACCCTTTCACAGGGGTCACCTAAGACCATCGGAAAACACATATATAATTACATATTGTTTTGTGATTAATCAATATGCTTTAATTATGTTCAATTTGTAACAATAAAAATACATCCTGCGTATCAGATATTTACATTACGATTAATAACAGTAGCAAAATTATAGTTATGAAGTAGCAACAAAAATAATTTTATGGTTGGGGGTCACCACAACATGAGGAACTGTATTAAAGGGTCACGGCATTAGGAAGGTTGAGAACCCACTGTCCTATGCTAAACTTCCCCTGTGACTATTTTGTAACTACTTCTAAATCCCTTCATCTGGCAGTCCCCAACCCCCACTACCCTCCACCCCCACCCCCAGCAACCATCAGCTTGTTCTCTTCACCTATGAACCTGTTTCTATTTTGTTTGTTCATTTATTTTGTTCTTTAGATTCCACATTGGGTAAAATCATATGGTATTTGTCTTTTTCTATCTGACTTATTTCACTTAGCATAATACCCTCCATGTTATCACAAATGATAGTAAGATCTCATTTTTTATGGCCAAGTAATATTCCATTGTATACATGCACCACTGTTATTTTATCTATTCATCTACTGATCAAAACTTAGTTGCTTCCATAGCTTGGCTATTGTAAATAACTCTGCAATGAACACAGGGGTGCATATATAATTTCAAATTAGTGTTTTGGGTTTCTTCAGAAAGATACCCAGAAGTGGAATTGCTAGGTCATAGGCAGTTCCCTTTTTAATTTTTACCACATCCTTTTAAATATTTTATGGCAACAGTGATAAACAATCTTAGCAAAATCAATGACAAAAAAATCAACCTTTTATATAGAAAGATAGATAGATAGATAGATATAGGTATCTATAATATATATATGGTGAGACAAAAGGTTTACAGTTGTTCGTATGGAATATACAATAATAATAATATAGGAATAAACTGTTTCACGTACTCACAACTGTAAACCTACTTTTGGCCATCCTGCATATTTAAAATATGTATCTTTAAATATATATTTTGTATATTTTTATATGATATATATCCAAAAAATCAATAAGATTAATCGCCAGTAGAAAAATAGACCAAAAAAATCTAAATGGATTTTTCAAAAAGCAAATTATAAGTGAACATATTCTCAATAAATGTAACAACTAATAATCAAATAATTAAAATATATATATATATTGCTCAATAAATTGGCAAGTTTTAAAACATGAGCATACTTAAAGATCACAAGTGTGTAATATAAGCACTCACTTAAATGTTCATGAGCATTTACGCTGGTAAAACCTTTCTGGAAACAATTTTACAATATAGATCACAGGTCTCAAAAAAGTTTAAGTCCCTCAATATGATATTTGCAATTACAGAAATCATTCCTAAGAAATTAATCAGATATGTGTTCAAAGCTAAATGTGGAAACTTTTATTCCTCTGAAAAACAACTAAAAAATGTAAATTTTCAAAAAGGGGGAAATGTTAAATTAATTATGTACCCTTATAAAATTTCTCTCTCAAAAGATAGAAAAATCATAAAAAGCCTACCCAAAATATAAATAAACTAAAAAAACACTTAAACAAACATACATGAGAGATTTTCACAAATAATTAGGGTATCTGGAACATTTTGGGAAATCCCTCGTTGAGGTGATCAATGAGGTTCAACCATATCCATATTTCTTAGGACTAGAAGTTGGAGGACTGACGGGTCTAATTCAAAATGGTAAATCTTACATCACAACACATAGTATTAATAAAAAAAAAACTCAAACTTTTATTTCAGTCAAGCATAATATGTTATCTTATATTTAGTGATTACCAGAGTCAAAAAACACATACACCTATACTGGTATCAACAAGCTTATTTATATTAAGGAGTGTTATATAATAAAATGTCAATTTTGAGAACACAAACTTACTTAAATTCCAATACTAATTTTCCTCAAGTTCATTTATTTTTACTTTCCTCTAATTTAGCTACATCCTAGAACATACAATTAAATTTGTACTAATGATAAATAAGATAATTTTATATAGTAAGGCTTCCATGTATCCATTACTTGTTTGCAAAATATATCTTGGATCCATCTTAACACTCTTCAACTTTACTAGCAGGTTCAAGACTAAAGATGGAAAGTAAGCCCATTATCCTGAGACAGAAGTAACAATACTACTGAATTAATATTCTTCCATGGTTATCTTTGCCAAAGAAGCTAATTCAAATATAGAAGCGCTAAGTAACAGAATTTAAACAAACCACTACACACATTGGGGGGTGAGGGGGCACTCATGACTGAGCACTACCAAAGCAAATCAGGTGGATTTCATGTATAAATTTAAGTATCAGAGAGCTACATAAAATCAAAAGTTTTATGTTTTTTTAATGTAAAAATAATACTTCATGCAGCCATACCCGAACAAGCACAGTAGTCAATACCTGTGTTCAGACTTAGGGCTCACTTTTCCATTACAAAATTTTAGTATTCAGAGGCATGTAATTCAATAATAAAAAATCATTTCACATTAAAACTTTGTTACCAAGATCACAAGTCACTTTGGGAATTCTTTTTCAAAGATACATTACTAGATGGAGTTTTAGAAAACAGTTATGTAATCAAAGGACAAAAGATTTACAGTTGACACTATACACATTGATAATCATACCAATTTCATGGAGAACAACAAATTTTCACATGTATCAAAAGACTTTACCTGAAAAATTCCCATAGTCTGAGATTTTAATTACATTTTGAAACCAAAGGTCAAAAGCTAATATTTCCTGAACCAATAAGATATCAGATTAGCAAATCAAGCCTTAGAAATTTATGGAAGAAAAAGAAGAGAGAATAACTACAGCCATCCGGCCATGCTAAACAAATTATAAGAATTTAAACACAGACTGATAATCAGTCCATTGTGGGCATAAAAATACTTTTTTATATGATCTCCTCTAACTACTTGAAGAAAAAAAAACACTAATAAACAGCTAGACAAACTAAAAAGGAAACTAAAGTCACACATACACACACACACACAAAAAAAAAATAGGTCCCCAAGTATCTCTCCTAGAACACATAATGCAAAATGTTATAAACATAATATAGTAAATAATATAAAATAGAACTTATAAATACAACTAAAACTTTTGTATAAAAACAAATGGCATAAAAATAAATGGCATATACATTTATGAGGTTAATTTCTTGTTTTTAATAATAACTAGCATGCACAGGAGCCAATAAACAAAAGAGACATACAAATCAACTACCAGAAAAAGAAACACCTACTTTAATAACAGATGGCATCTTGGAATTTAGGTTATCATACGTAAAATGCAGACGAGTTCTGAAGGAACATTTATATAATAAAGGATCCTGGTAAAACTCTATTTTGCCACTAGCATTCCGTTTATCAAGACAAACTGTACAGTCTGAAAAGTTGATAACTTTTCTCAGCACCAGATCAGTGGCTGAAAAAGAAAAGAAAAACATTTTAAGTAAAATAAAAAGTTACAGAAAAAAGGCAACTATTATTTATTAGTACAAGTAGTAATGCAAATAAGATTAATAGAGCATTAAATATATGTTGCCAGAACCTATGCAAAGAACATCTCATTCATTATATCATTTAAATCTTCCAACAACTTTATAAAATAGGCACAAAAATCCTCATTTTCTGTATAAAGAATTAAATAGAGACCAAAGAAATGAAGTAGCTTATCCCCAATTTGCTTGACACCTAACCTACAAATTTAAGGCAAAAATCGTGGAAAATTTCATTATATTTTGTTATCTGCAACGAGATATTAAATAATCTATAATAATAAAAGCGTAATATACTAATTAGACCGGACAACCTTCCGGACGAAGCTGGGCTACAAGGGAAGCCCAGGTCCCGGGTGCCAGAGGGAAGCCAGTGCCAGCAGCTGGGTGAAGAAAGGCCTACTCATACACAAATTTCGTGCATTGGGCCTCTAGCAATAAAATACCTGAGAAACCATTTAGTGGTAGTCACTCATTTAATATTTATTTTACACTAAAAAACTTGAAGCTATGATCTAAACCTGCACTCTCCAATATGGTAGCAACCACTGATACATGGCTATATAAATTTATACATGAATTAATTATAATTATATGAAAATAAAATTTCAGGTCCTTGGTTGCACTAGCCACATTTCAAGTGCTCAACAGAAACATGTGACTATTGGCTACAATACTGGATCATAAAGATATAAAATATATCCATCATCATAAAAATTATGGACTAGCACTGCTCTAGATAATAACTAATGAAGAAATTACCAATAACAGTACCAAGGTTTTATTCAAGGCAATAAAAATGAAACAATTACTGGTAAAATACCAAACTAGAAAATGAAACCTTTAGCAAATCAGTGTTTTTATTCCTAATAAGCAATTCCTAGGTAAATATCTGGCCCAAGTCTACTTGGTCACTGATTTTAAGTTAGCTACTCCATGCTATGGCCATGGGAATGTTCAAAACAATAAAATATGCCTTAATTTAAAATATGTTTGCTTTAGTGCATTATTTGATAACACTATTTTTGAGTATACCCTGACAACCCCTAATTAATTCAACCTTTAATTTCCTTATGTTTTTTTGGATTTAACTTTTTAAGAAGGAAAAACTGAAGAGTATGCACATGTGTGGAAACAGTAAAGTTTTATTAGCAAATAAATTTCAAATTTGTCTTTTAAAAAAATACACAAACTTACCATATATTTCATTTTATATAGTATATTATTAAATTACTTCATTACTGATATTATATACAGAAACCAAAGACTGGGTTGGGCCTCTGTATACACTCTTCTTTATGCTTCACAACAGAGCTGTGAGATCAGGATTATTCTTGATTTTTTTAAAATATATTTTATTGAATTTTTACAGGAAGGGAGAGGAAGAGAGAGGGATAGAGTGTTAGAAACATCGATGTGAGAGAAACATCGACCAGCTGCTTCCTGCACACTCCCTACTGGGGATATGCCCACAACCAAGGTACGTGCCCTTGACCGGAATCAAATCTGGGACCCTTGAGTCCGTAGGTCGACGCTCTATCCACTGAGCCAAACTGGTTAGGGTTATTATTGATTTTTAAAATGTGAAAACTAAAGCTTGGAGAACACACAAAAATGAAACAGTACTCCAATTTTGCTCATTGCTAGTTGTATGCCTTAACTAGGCAAGTCAAATAATCCTGAGACTCAATTTCATGTTCCTATCCTTTAACTAGGACTTAAAATGAACAAATGAATATATGACTAAATGAATAAGAAAGTGTTACAATAGACAGTCAGGCACACACACGGCACAGGGGTAGGCTCTTACACTGGGTGTGCCAAAAGCTAAAAAGATGAGTGGGGAGAGCCTGAGCAGTTAAAAGCTAGAAAGATGAATGATCAGAACCCAAGAGTGTGAAAGTTAAAATGCACAGGGCCCAGCACGCCAAAAGTTAGCAAGGTAACTGAACAGAAAAAAAGCCCTCCCCTCCCTAACCCTATAAGAGATGGTCTTTGAGACAGGAGTCCACCATTCTGCCAGGTCCCAGCACCCAAATAAACCTCTTCCCTTGTGACAGGCAGCCAAACCTGCGTTTCAGTTACAAAAGGATATCATTACTTTATGGAGTTGTTATGAGAATGAGAGAAAATAAATGTAAATAATAATAGCAGCTCCCTTTCTGAGCAATTAATTACGTACAGAAAACTTTCATAAGTTCTTTCAGTGCACTCATGTATTTAATAAAATAATTCTATAAAGAAGCTCTTTTATCCTCATTTTACAAATGACAAAACTGAAAAACAGATATAAACTAAATCACCCAAGGTCATACATCTAGAGCAAAGTGGAAAAGCCAGTATTCAAATGCAGGCAGCCTAACTTTAGTGCCAGCACTTTGTTTGTTTTTATTTTTTGTAAATTTTCTTTTTTTCTAATGTAGAGTCATTTTCACAGTGTTATTAAAGCATAATTCCTATTGAAATATACTGCTGATATATACAGTATACAATTTCATAGTTTTGGGGTTTTTGTACTTTCTTACTTGAATTTATTGGTTCACAAAACCACCATTTCAAGTGTACAACTCAACAAAACATCTTCTGGACAATGCATCATATGCCCATGGCCCTGAACAAAGCCTCTTCCATCCTGATTTTCTCCCCTTTTGCTCACCTCTAGCTACTCCTACACCCTTCCCTCGGGCTATCCCCACACTGTTGTCAGTCCCTAAGTATTATGTATATATGCTGTTTTTTGCTTAATCCCTTCGCCTTTCATCCAGACCCTCAATGTCCCTCCCCTCTGACAGCTGTCAGTCTGTTCTCTGTATCTATGAGCCTGTTTCTATTTTGTTCGTCAGTTTATTTTGTTCATCAAATTCCACATATAAGTAAAATCATATGGTATTTGTCTTTCTCTGATTGGCTTATTTCACTTAACATAATTTCCAGATCCTTCCATGCTGTCACAAAACGCAAGATTTCCTTTTTATTATGGCCAAAAAGTATTCCATTGTGTAAACGGACCACAGCTTTTTTATCCACTCATCTACTAATGGGCACTTGAGCTGTTTCCAGATCTTAGCTATTGTAAATAATGCTACAATGCACACAAGGGTGCATTTTTTTAAAATATTTTTATTGAATTCAAAGAGGAAAGAAGGAGATAGAAACATTGATGAGAGAGGTACATGAATCAGCTGCCTGCTGCACACCCTCTACTGGGGATCTAGCCTACAACTCGGGCATGTGCCCTCATTGGTAATCAGACCCGAGACCTCTTAGTCTCCATGGGATGGTGCTCAAGCCACTGAGCTGCACCAGCAGGGGCGAGGGTGCATATATTTTTTCAAATTAGCGTTTTGGGTTTCTTGGGATATATTCCCAGAAGTGGGATTACTGGGTCTAATTTTTTAATTCTATTTAAAAATGTTTAACTTTTTGAGGAAACACTATACTGTTTTCCACAGTAGCTGCACCCATCTGCATTCCCATCAACAGTGCACAAGAGTTCCCTTTTCTCTACATCCTTGCCAGCACTTTGTTAATTTATTGATGATAGCAATTCTGACAATTGTGAGGTGATACCTCATTGTTGATTAATCGCTTTTCAGATGTATCATTAGCAAATATGTTCTCCCATTCATTCAGTGGGCTCACTTCACATTTTGTTGATGGTTTCTTTTACTCTGCACAAAGTTTTTTAGATTGATGTAGTCCCATTTGTCTATTGGTTCCTTTGTTTGCCTTGCCCAAGGATCTAAATCTGCAAAAATATTGCTAAGAGAAATGTCTGACATTTTACTGCCTATGTGACATTTTACCCTATGTTTTCTTCTAGTATGTTTATGGTTTTGCAACTTACATATAAGTCTTTAATCCATTTTGAATTTATTCTTGTGTATTAGTACCAGCACTTTTAGGAAATACATATCATGGCAAGTCACAGATAAAAGGAGCTCACAATAGTCTCCTTAAAATATTTTCCAAAAATATACATTTCTTACACTAACAGAACATACATCATTTATCAACAAATGTTAATTAACATCTCTCCTGATAAAACTAATGAGCAGTGTCTATTTTCTTCACAACTATAGTTTTGATGTTAATACAATGCCTAGCATATAGAATATAATAAAATAGTAATAAATAAATGGTAGTGATTAAAATTGTATTATTACTTAGATATTTTAAGATAAGAAGAGTAAAGTAAGTTAATAGTTAAAGGAGGTTTCAGGAGTATCCAAAAATCCCATATGTACTCAAAAATATAGAAATCTAAAACATAAATCAGTCAGATATATTATTTGCCATTACCAAGTAACGTGAAAGCAACATACTCTATCTTCTTTCAAAAACATTAAAAATTTTAACTTAATATTATTCAGTTTTTATTGGTATAGCCCACAACATTGTAAAATATCATACATCACCTTTCAAATAAGCATGTTACACCAAAGAAAAAATAAAAATTAAAAATATTTTTTAAAAGTCAGGGATTTCTGCCGAAACCGGTTTGGCTCAGTGGATAGTGTCGGCCTGCGGACTGAAGGGTCCCGGGTTCGATTCTGGTCAAGGGCATGTACCTGGGTTGCGGGCGCATCCCCAGTGGGGAGTGTGCAGGAAGCAGCTAATCGATGTTTCTCTCTCATCGATGTTTCTAACTCTCTATCTCTCTCCCTTCCTCTCTGCAAAAAACCAATAAAATACATTTAAAAAAAAAAAAAAAAAAA